GGGCTGTGGTGGAGTTTTAGGGTGCTTCTATAAAGACTTCCAAATCTTTCATCAACATGTTCTTGAGGAGAAGAAATAAACCATTTGGGTAGGAAGAGAAAAAAGCAAGTTGTGAGTTGGCTAAGAGATTAAGAGGGTCTCTTTCTCCCTCCCTCTCCCCTTGCAATTGTGTTCGGTTTGCACTCGTGCCTGTACAGTGTTAAATTGTCAATCCTGTCTAAGCAGTTGAAGATGAATCATAATAATCCACATCCAAATTGTGGTCAGTCTTGAAACGCTGAGAACAAAGAGCTAAGAAGGATTGCTATGTCCTGAGTTGTTACAGGTCCTGGAAAAATAAAAAGGCCCTTGTCCCCATTCTACAGATGTAAATGGAACAAAAAATAAATTAAAGGCACCACTGTGAATCACCCAGGTTGGTTTGCTGGGAGTCCAAGGAACCTTTGCAACATCTAGTATTGTCCACCTAGTAAAGCATGATGACTTGGTGGACAATGCTAGATGCCACAAATTTGGTGGGGCCTTCTCCCCTCCCTTTTTGTATTGATACTGAAACAAGGTATGTAGCAGTAGATGCTGATGGTATCATATGGAACCGTAATTCTCATACAATGCACTCTCAGTTCAAAGCAGGTACTGCTTTCCAAGAGCCAATATTATGTTAGAGCTTCAGAGACTGAATCTTGGTTCATGTGATGCTTTGTATGAAGTACTCCTTAATTAAACTAAAGGAGCACTCAGCATCCCACAGTGCTTCCAACCCCTGGCCGTTCATGAATGGTGTCACCATCTGGAATTTAATTTCTGAAATAACAGGCACTGATTGGCTGCCTGGAAAGCAGGTAGACAGAGGCATTTAATGGCACCATACCCAACAATTAGAACATTCCTCTTTAGTGTTTGTTACCCAAATATGGGACTAGTTTCCTGGGACATTTGCCTCACCATTCCTTGGGCTACCCTTGGAATCTTTGCTAGTGCCTTGCTTCATCTCTCATGAGAGGTTGGGACCCAGTGTCCTTTCCTACAGTTATGGAAATTTCCTTCTGATTTATTCCTTTGGGAGTTGTTAACCTTTCCACTAGGTTTCTTTCTCCAGGCAGTGCTGTGAGGCTGTTTTCCTGCAAATCTTGAAAATGATATGGTTAGAAGGTCTTCTGCAAGTTTGATGCATGACTGGGTTCAAATGTGACACTCAACCATGAGTAACTTAAGCATAGTTTGTTGACTAAGCCACAGTTGCCTGAGTTCATGCATCACATTAGGCTGTGTTTTGTTTGAACCAGGTTTTGTTCAGTAAGCTGTAATGGGCCACTTTCAGCATCATCCTAAGCCACAGGGGTTGTGTTCAGATAACGAAGACAAAACCGAACTACTCACAGGATGGGTAGCAATAATGTGAACATCTGATCACTGTTGCATCAGAGGAAAAAATGGCCTTCGCCCCATGAATGAACAATTGCAATGCGCTCTACACGGGGCTGCTCTTGACCATTCAGAAGCTACAGCTGTTGTAAGATGCAGCAGCACGGGCAGTTACGAGCATGTCATGGTACGCCCATGTGACACCACTGCTCTGTGAACTGCATTGGTTGCTAGTTGGCTTCCAGGTACATTTAAGGTGCTGGTTGCCACCTATAAAGCTGTTCATGTCCTGACTATTTGAGGGGCCACCTATCTCCAATCATTTCTGCCTGTCCTGCAAGACTGAGGAGAGTGGAAGCTTTTCAGATCCCCTCAATTAAACAATGTTATCTGTCAGGACTTAGGACATGCCGTCTCTGTCATGGTCCCTGCCTCTGGAATAGCATTTGCCAGAGATTGGTATGGAGCCTACCCTGATGATGCTTAGAAAGTCACTAAAGATCTGGCTATTCTCCCAGACTGGGTGCAACATTTTTTCCTGTAAGATTTTGTCCTGTTTTGTATGATTTTTTCCCCTTCTCTTCCCCCCTTCTCTTCCCCCCACCCCCTGCACCCCCAGGCATGTCATCTGTTACCTTATTTTACTGTCCTGGCTTTTTCCTATTGAAGTGCTCAGAGTTCATTGAAGTTGGGCGCTCTTTAAGTCCCTGTAAATAAATGTAAATAAATAAATAAATGGACAAATGAAACTGTTGTCAAACCCGATTAGGTGCAATGTGGTCCTGACAGATTCAAGATTAAGCCTCCTTTGGGGTGGGGGGAGGAAATCCAATTGAGGACTTTTCCGTACCTTGAGGGGGCAGCTGATATTACATTTACCAGCCGGCTGTTCGCTCCCATCCAGAAGCTCGGGGGAGAACGAGGGAGAGAGAGAGAGAGACATTCACAACTGAAAGAAACCAAGGGAAGATGTTGGTGAAGTTTTTCCTCCTTTCTTCTCTTCATGCCTTGGAAATCAGAGGTCTTAGCCTTCAGGGGAAGCAGGGAAGAGAACCAGCTGCTCTGGGCTAAAGTCTTCTTTGGAAGAAGCTTTGCTGCAGGGCAGGACATCTGTGAAGCTTTTATCAATCCAGTAATTCAATCATGGAGAGAGGTTTAAAACGCTTCTCTGGTGCCTTGCCTACAGTTTCTCCCTTGTTCTGAAGAAGAGCACCTTTCAAAAAGGACCTTGACCATCCCTGTTTGCCTCCTTCATCCGCCACTGGGGAATGGACCATTTCTCCTTGGGGAGAATCAGCCTCTCCTGAAAGAGGGGATCAAAGAGTGGTGAGTCCTTCTGAAGACCTCTCTTTGCCGTGGGGAAAGGTAAGTGGGGCTGGGACCAGAGTGTGATGTGTGTGTGTGTGTGTGTGGCTGGTGATGCCAGCAACAATGTGCTCAGTAAGAACAGGCAGAAGAATCAGATTGTTGCAGGGACCACAGACAATGTATGCATGTGTGTGTGTGCATTCAATGAATTCTTTTCAGCTGGACGGTCAACATTTCTATAAAAATGACCTCAGTCATCATTTCACACTGGGACTTGCAGCATGTTCTGCCCTCTTAGACATTTCTGGATTGTATGCAGGGGTGTCTTTGCAATTACTAGAGGCACCTTAGCTCCTCCGCCCCCCACTGATCCACAGGGAGATTTAAATCATTGGGGTTCTCTGAGCTTGGTTCTTGGAACCAAGCTCAGAGAACCCCAAGGACTCCACAGTTCAACCCTGGGCTACACATATTCACCTCTATTAGATTTAAATCAGCTTCAGATGGGTTTGTTTAAAATTGAAACCTGGGAAAGTTCCCACATCACGCTCTGATCGCTCCGGAAGCAAAACATAGATAGATGAATGAAAAGATTCGCACACAGACTGCTGTGCCCTGCAGCTATATGATGCTTGAGTGTTGAATGTAGTAATTGTCCGGTGAGGCAAAATTGATGCTGTTCAGATAACATTTAGTTTAAAAAAAAAAAATTTAGTGGGAGAAGGACATGTTTTACCTTCTTGTTATTAAACCTGATGATTTAAAAAAGAATTTGGATTACTACACTGACTTTAAGGAATGCAGGAATAGACTTTTTTTTTTTAAATGTATCAGCAAAGTTGGTTTCATTATTTAACTGTTTCTTGCCCCTTGATCCAGGTGAGTCGGAGCCATTTGGGTTCTGTTATATATCTCTTGTTTGTTTTCTCGGTTGTCTATACAGGAAACATGTAAATGGTGGTTTACTGCTTGGACTAGGACATTATTGCATTACAGAATTACATTCTAGCTATTTTGTAAATTTCTGCAAAACAGAATCTGTCTAGGAGAGAAAGGAATAGCACCAAAATACATTGCAGGCTGGCATAAATAATTCCAGATGGTTTAAAACCATACCTTAGCTCTGGATTATGAATTCAGTGATATTAGTGTTGGTATGCAAACATCCCATTGAGGGGGAAATCCCTAAGGCTATTAGCCAACTGGAGTTTTCACCTTCTCCAGTTCTAGAGAATTTATGATCTTGAGTTGCCTTCAGTTGAGTTCTCTTGCCCTGATTCGGATTCTGGAACTTTTAAAATCTTGTCCCTGTTGGCGCACTTCCTCAATTCTCTTTTTATTGCTGCTCCTGATGGAAAGCATTGGAGAGCTCACCTACACAACTCCGAACGGCACGCGTGCAAATCAGTGAAATTTGGGTACCTGGGTGTATGTCTGTCCTGTAACGCATACACGATTCTCTCGGAAAGGGTGAGTTTTAGAGGAGGCGAGGCTTGGACCCAGGGAGGTATATTTGGGAACGGCGCTTTCAGGATCCGAGAAACAATCGCAGACTTGTGCGAGCCGCCCCAGAGTTTCTCCCTCGGGCACTCTTCGAAACGGAACCTTTTGGGAGGCTTTTTTAAGGCCATGTCCTCGCTAGGACTTGCCCGGCGCCTTCTTCCAGTACTACCCAACCCCTGCGCGCCGAAGTTAACCGTCGTGAGGACATAGCGCCACAGCGACGGGCGGGTGTCGCTAGAATCCGTGACACTGGCCCCCGTCCGACCCAGGGGCGCAGTGAGTCCGCGGCCGAGGTTGGAGAGGTCGG